TCGCAGATTCTGTGCAGTTCGTGCGAAGGCGGCCACGTCGTCGTCGAAGGATTACTACGCGACGCTGAATGTGAGCAGGAGCGCTTCGCTTCGAGAGATCAAGGCCGCCTACAGGAATCTCGCTCGAAAGGTTATCCATTTCTTGAATACTCTACTCTTCTTCTGAATTTGGGAACATATTTTTAAATTTTAATGGATGAATAACTATGCATGCCCACTGTAAAATGTAAAATGGTATAGATACATGGAAAAGGTGTACTAATTAGGCGTGCTAAACCGTATCCGTATCCAAGGAAATATTCGTACGTTAGGCGTGCTAAACCGTATCCGTATCCAAGGAAATATTCGTACGTTTAGGATACCGATATGGTTACTCAAATATAAAATGATAGGATACGGATATGGATTTGCAGTGAAATATCCAGATCCGTATCTGAAAACATATTAGTCATATTGTTATGATAGTTTTAATCCTTAGATTATAGATTTGAGGTTAATTTTGATGATCAAAATATCTAATATTAGCTTTTCAGATATAATAAACATATTACTGAACTCTTTTGTATCATATGAACTATATTTTTTTTTCAATACTATTTAGTTTTCCCATATCCGTTTTGTATCTGTATGCATGTTCGCTTATATATCCGCATGTATATCCGTATCCGTATCCTATTTTAGCGGATATGGATATGAATTTTCCTTATGGAGGTATATCCGAATCCGTATCTGAGATGTGTAAGTGGGTATGAATATGATAAATATCATATTCGAGCCGTATCCAGACTGACTGCACTCAAGGACTAATAGTTCTATTTTAATTTATAAGGAAGAAGAAAAGTAGTCGAGCCTAAATGTTGTTAAACATCATCATACTACAATATACCAAGTCGTTTTCATATCCGTATCCATTTCTATGTGGAGGATACTTTTATTTTCATATTCACAGGAAGGATATAGCTATTGATGTTATTTGGATAATCTGCTATATAATGTTAAAATCATTACACTATCATATCACAACCCCGTCATGCAATAGATGAAGATGAAGTCAGTTTATAAGACATTCCCAATCGTAGTGAACGCAGAACGGGTATCTCTTATATTAATTCCGGAACTGCACATTGACTTAGTAACTATTTAGTATTTGCAGATGCTATAAAGATAGAATGGCACAGCGTAGTAATTCCAAAAAAATGTTTCAATACAATTTGAGGGGCAAATAGCAGTTTTAGGTTAAAATTTAGTTTCATAGCGATAAAAAGAAGTTCTGTTTTTGCCGCATAACAAATTGGCAGGGTCCATTAGGAAAATTGAAATCAGCTTTTTGGTATCATTTCTTCTGCTTGTCCCCCTGCCTCTGACCAAGTCTGTCAACAAACTGACATGTCATGTTATTGTCAGAATGATGCAAAGCTTAAATACTGCAACTGGATGCATAGTTGAATTGTCCGTTATGTTGTTAAGTTTTAGTTTTGATTTGAGTAGTAACCAGAACAGTCTTTAAGATAAGACTGTTTAAGTCAGTTGTGCAATCCAAAGAGCTAGCTTTTGTCATAAATTTTTAGGTGATAGTCAAGAACACTAGCAACCTTGAATTGCAAGTTATAAAGACTGGAGGTATTGAACATAATGGTGGAAAATGCTGATGATTTGATATTTAATTGTGAAAGATGATGTCTTTTGAACTATCTATTCTTTCTAATTTTATTGTTCTCAATCTAAAGTAAATTTTCTTCTGCGAAAAATTCGCTCGATGTGAAATCTTGAAGCCTTTAGCTACATCAATTTGGTACTCTTGCGGTCAAGTTTCCTAATCATATCCTTCAAGGTTTGATCTGTTTTTCTCCCATTTTTGAGTTGATGTCATTGTACCAATTCACCCCCATAAACCCCCCCTCGCCAAAAAAAAAACCACCCCCACTCCGGGCGCTGAAAAGCAATTGACTCCTATCAAGTGATCTTGTCCGCAATTGTAGATTTTCTTTCATTTTTTTTGCCTTTTGAAGATGTCAAGCACCCAAATCTCAATTTTGCCTTCCCATCATAGTCGATACTTCCACTGAAATGTGTTGTCACATGAATACAAAAATGTGAATGAGTTGAAAGATGAATTCTCAGAGAAAGATTGAGGAGAGTATATTGTATATATCAGATATTGAAGGATAAAATCAGCCTGTGGAATATGTGGTAAGCCGAACCCCTGCTTGAGGTTAACATAGCTTTGGGCTTCTATATTTAAGAAAGAATAATTTAAAGATACTTAAGGGAAGAAATTTGTGTTTAGACAAGGTTTCTACTATTGTCTTGATTTGAAGGTAGAATCATATCTGAAGAACAGAAAGGAAGAGGAAGAACAATAAACCGAGAGAAATGGGTAGTAAGTGTTGATCTTCACCCACAAGGACATCAAATCATCACCATTTCCCCCATTACGTTCAATACGTTCATCTTTTGTGTATGCGAACACTCATGACCATTTAGTCTTCATAATTGCATCTAATAGCTTATGACAAAAAATAAGGTCCATTTAATTAACTATCTGATCTGAACAATCTTTTCAAAATCGCTGCGATTATCACTGATATAAATACAAAAACCTATTATATAACTTTAATTATAATTAAGCGTTCACTGATCCATCAAGGGATCAAAATCCCTCAAATAATTATAAATTGTTTGAGACCAGTCCCTGAGGTTAATGGGTCCTAATAGGTTGTTGGATATTTAATTGAAGTTTTATTTTCCCTATGTGTTTCTAAAGCACTTCATTTTCAGTCCATTGACCATCAGCTAGTTTTATGGATTTGAAAAGAAACAACTGCATGCATTATAACAAACTAATTTTAACTTTTTATCATGTCGTCCTTTGCCTTTATTATTACTTTAGCTGTTTATGTGGTCTTTATCTTATTGTAGTATCATCCAGATATGAACAAGAGTCCTGGGGCAGAAGAAAAGTTCAAAGAGATTAGTGCTGCATATGAGGTGCTCAGTTCCTCCCTATTTTAACTATTTCTGCTACTCACTATGCTGGGTTTCTATCTTTTTTTTCTTTCATGTCTGTACATGCAGCACAGAAGATTTTGTTTGTGCTTCTTGCAAATATGTACTTTTGTTTATTAGAAGAAAATGAGTTGCTGCTCTGAAAGTTTTTGCTTGAAACTGTACATCCTCCATAAGTTGCTGAACAATTTACATAGAGCATGCTGTCAATAGATTTCTCCCTACCAGAAGCTCTTTACAGGTTATGGAGGCAGATAAAATTATCCAACTAAGTTGATATCATTGTCATTTGGTTACTGTATCTGCTATAAAATCAAATTTAGCTCTGCAGTTTGGATGTCAATTATCTGTCAGCCTCTATTTTCGTATCTGCAACATGTTAATCAGTGCTTTCTGTAGGTTTTATCAGACAATGAAAGAAGATCTTTATATGATCGCTTTGGTGAGGCAGGTTTGCAGGGAGAATATGGAGGAGAAAGTGTTAGTCCACAGGGGGTAAGAACTTAGTCACCTAATTTCCATCCCAGTCTAACTCCCTTTCCCAGGTCCTGTAAGTTGTAAATCATTTCTGCACTAACAGAATGATGAACCATCTTTAGCTATTTTATGCAATATGTTGATAACCACACTGAATGTTGGATTCTTGTTTGTAAATTTATAGGTAGACCCATTTGAAGTTTTCAATGCATTCTTTGGCGAGTCAAATGGGATTTTTGGAGGCGAGATAGATCCTGGGGGGTTCAGCTTCAAAAGAAGAAGTCAGCAAAGACGGGATCTTGATGTTCGGTAATGGCTTAAGTTATCATATACTCTCCAGCTAAATTTGTTTTAAGTTACCATACTTCTGTCAGTACCAGGTATTTCTTTTGTCAGTTACATCTTTTGGATTTTAGATTATAGTGAATCTTGATACCCTCATTTTATTTGGGGGCTTAACTAACAATTTGGTCTGGCAGGTATGATCTATCTTTGAGTTTTGAAGAATCAATTTTTGGAGGGCACCGGGATATCAATGTCACTCGTTTTGAAACATGTGACACATGCAGTGGAACTGGTGCAAAGTCTAGCGATTCAATAAAGTCATGTGGAGAATGTGGGGGCAGAGGTGGGGTCATGAAAAGTCAGAGAACACCATTTGGTGTGGTGTCACAGGTAAGATGATAATTTAGCAGTGTTGCATATGAATGGTAACTGTGTTTATATACATTGCTCAAATTTAGGTATGTTACGTATCTGGTTTTTCTAGCCTACATGAATGTATCTGATGTATGTATTGCAACTATCATGCAAATGTTGGCCCAGTACTTCTTGGGCATGGGATTCACTTTGATGTTCGTTCTTTGCTTCTAAGTGTGGATCTTGTCTCTCAAGTAGATTTTTCGAGCTAACATTTCTGAATGTAAATTTTTTACATTAAGTTGCACATCAACTTGAGGTTGAGTACAACAGGCACTTCATGCTGTCATGTATTGCATGTCACATCAAGTTCTGTTGGATTATTCATGCATCTGTTGTGTGTGTGTGTGTGTACATACAATATTGCTACTTATGTTAGGAATAGAAAATATTTATAGGGAAACATGACAGGTCCTGGTTTTGGTACCATAATAAATGGCATGGTAAAGTAGAGTTAAAATACTCACTGCATTATTCATTCGCTAGTTTACTTTTAGTGAAAAAATGGTAACATAGTAAATGGTGTGATAAAATAGAATTAAAAATCTCACTGCTTTATTCATTTTCTAGTTTACTTTTATTGAAAAAAATGGCTGTGTTTCAGTAATTAGAATAATCTCCTTTCAGAAGATGGTTGTGCATCTTTTGCTTTCATTTAGTGAATATATGACATATTGCATGTCAAAAGTGTAAACTAATAAAATTTTCAAGTCATACACTTGATATTTATATTGCTTATCAGGAGAAAAGCTACTGCAAAAAAATTCAGATCATATGCCACATGCTAATTGGTTCATGTTTACTTAGCTAACTTAGCTGACTATATGATAATTATCATTGCTATAAACTTCAAAAACTTTCATGCATTTTAAAGTTTTACAGTTAATTCATATACAAATCCGACTATTTATTTAAGATAGAGTGAACTTTTAGGAAACACTTAATATAATTGATTTCCTCTTTTGTACTTGTTTTATTTTGCATCTGCAATATAAATTGGATTGCGTGAATCATACAGGTATCTACTTGCTCAAAATGTGGTGGGAATGGCAAGACAATCACTGAGCTATGCAGAGTTTGTGGCGGCGGTGGAAGAGTACAGGTGAAGCGGAGTGTTGAAATTAATATTCCAGCTGGCGTAAATGAAGGTTTTACTATTCAAATTCAGGGTGAAGGAAGCTTTGATAAGAAAAGGCAAGACCCATCGTGCATCATATTTTTTTATGATGTTTATTCATGAGTTCTATCTCTAGTTTATAATTCAACATACCTCTGTGAATTTCGAAGCTATAATGTCATTATCATGTAATTTTAAGGACACATATATGTTTGTGGGAAAAATTAGAAGAAAAATTGAGAAATAAACTTGTATTAATCTCCCTAACTGACTTAAGAAAAAAATGAATACAATCTCTCTTTGCAATCTCTCTAACTGACTTAGAAAAAGAAATTACAATTTTCTTCTATCGGTTTCCTAATTTACAAAAGAGAAAGAATCAACGGAGATCATTCCCTTTGTTTAAAACTGGGTTCTTCTTGGTGTCGATGAGAGTTTGAATTTTGTATCCAGTTGACGATTCGAGCACGTAGTTTTGTAGAACTTTGTATCCTCTTCTTGACTTGATGTCTTCGAAGAACTTGCGAGGCAAGTTTGGAACTCTAAATGAGTTTAAGAACTCTAAACGAGTTTTAGAACTCTGTAAAAGAGTTAATTTCAGAAAGAATATTTGATTTTTTTTGACCGAAATCAGAATAACCGATCTCATCGTTCTTCTATCGAAACACAGTTCAAAAGCCAAGGCGAAAGCTCTCCAAAAGCCTTAATCAAGCTCCAACCAAGTTAAGCCTATTTCAGCTGTAAACACAACTATTTATAGGGTTTATGGGTGTAAGTGACCCCTTAAATCACTCCGTAATGGGGGTTTAATGCCCTCATTACGTGCAAAATGGTTTTGGAACCGTTTAAAACGTGTTTGAATGAGTCAAACGTGAGGTTCGCGTTCTGGAGCGATCCTCGTGTTTAACATATGAAACGCAGAGGTGAGCCTCGCGTTTAAAGCTTGGAATGCGGGGGTGAACCCTACGTTTGGAGCTTAGAACGTGGGGGTGAGCCCCGCGTTTTAAAATTGAAACGCGGGGGTGAGCCCCGCGTTTTGAGATTGAAACACGGGGGTGAGCCATGCGTTTTGGTTTAAAGAGATCGTCAAGATCGTCAATTTGTTATCTCCTGCAAAGATTGTTATCTTGTAATCATTGTATTTGGCTCTTTGAAACGTGAGAGTCGTCAATTTGTAACTCTTGTATGTTGTCGTGAAAGTTATCATATTGGGATTTTCATTGATTGTTGTGAAGCTCATCAGATTGTAACCTTCAACGGTTGATGTGAAAGTCGTCAGATTGTAACTTCTAGCATCAGTGCTTTAACTTCTAGCATCAGTGCTTTGTAGGGATCAACTATCCACAATAATTTTTAGACAGCTTACAATATATAAGCTGCAGTTTTTAGAATTTCTTTGTGGAAACTTGATCTTGTTAAGAGTTCAGGCATGCAGTGAAGTTTGAGTAGCCTTCTGTTTTGATTCCAAAATTTGAAGAATAAAAACATGTGGGCATAAGTATTAGTGATCTTATCAGTCATGTAACATATATGCATGAAACATATCCTATTTTCACATCATCTTCGTTTGCATTTCTCTAGATCTAGTTTTGTTTTTTCTAAGTTATCCTGTCTTGCTCATATTTCGATGCATAATACATAAATATATATGTATACATATGTATTTGCATTTAGTGTTGACTATATACTTATTTCTCACTTTTAAAATTTTGGAGCTACCAGAAACTCAGTGATGGCCGCCATTATGTCTTTCTTTCTCATTTCTCTTCATTTGACATTCTAAACATGCCTTGTCCATATCTGCAAATAGGGCTGAGAGATCTCTACTCGTGGATTAGGTATTAACAAGTTGTGTACTGTCCTGTTTCAACACGAAAACAGCAGCTATAGCCAAAAATATATGTTAATGTGTTTTCAAAAATAGTTGATCATGGTATTTTACAATCCCATTCAATTTTTTCACTTCAGTCATAAGTCGTAACCATCCATTTATTTAATTATATTACTTCGCAAAGAAAATAGTCTGACTTATCAGATGCATATCTTTTCTCTCCTGTTACACTTGAAATGCAAAGTAGTTTGAGGTCCATTACCTATTCAAAGCACAGGAAATTTCTGGGGATCAGAGGAAGATGAAGAGCTCCTCACTTCCCCTCATTTAAGTTTTTTAGCATAACAGAATTTCAGAACACTCATTCGTCTGTATTTAATCTGGAATCATATCATTGAGGATATTAAAAATATTTGAATATACGTCAACAAATAACTCATTTATTCGAGGAAAGCGATTCCTGCTAGTTCCAGGGAGTGGAGAGTAATATTGTAATGATGTAGTGAAATCATATATTTCTCAATGAGCAGTCCCTAGGAATGATTCCCGTAATAACATCTGCTCTCCAGAGATTGTTAATTCTTGGACATAAAAATATAGCATGAAAGAGACAAGTATATCAACATTATAAGGAGAGGAGTAAGAGTAGTCTTTTGTGGCTATTCGCTTCCACCTCTTCTGTGAATGGTTTCATATAACCATTACATGCATTAAGGAATTTACCAGAAAGCTCGGAATCTGTGCTGGTTACACGATTTTATATATATATATATATAGATAGACACTTTAATGCTTTTAATAATGCATAAACAATGCAGATCCTTCCGGCCTATGTTACTCCGACACGGCAAACTAAGTCCCGTACCCGTGTCGGGTACGTTTTGGGTGCGGATCCGCACCCAAACGGCAGGGACACGGCGATTTCACAAGAATGAGGGGGAAAAAGTTGCGAACTTGAAAAAAAAAGTTACGAACCTTATAACTCATCAACGGAAGCGACGACGGATTCTAGATCTCAAGGCGTCGGGTCAATTGCAGCTCCTCGACGACGAATCAGCGCCTCGACGACGAGATCAGCGCCTCTGCTCGAAGACAGGTTTGATTTTTAGGGTTTTGTTTTTTTTGTTTCTCCTTTTTCTCCTTTTTCCTCGACGACAAGATCAGCGCCTCTTCTTTTTCTCCTTTTTCCTCGACAAAGAAAGTTGGGGCTGGTTCCAGGCGCCATCTTCCAGCCATCATGCGTTTTTTCTCGAGAGAGGACGAAGAGGAGAGAAAGGGCGGCGGAAGAATTAGGGCTGGGAGAGAACGAATGGGAGAGAACGAAGAGGAGAGAGAGGGCGGCAGAAGAATTAGGGCTGGGAGAACTTGGTCTTCTTTTTTTCCGTTTATATACTATGTGGTAATATTTCCATAAACCCCTCATCAATTCTTTTTTTGCAGCAAGCCCCTTAACAAATACAAATATGTTATTATAGTTACTATTTTCTTTTGTTGCATAAATGTCCTCTTGCAAACTCATCTACAAATTAATATAGTTAATTCAATTGTTAGGATATCTATTTAAATAGTTACTAATTACTATAGTTTCTTATTTATAATCTCCACTTTATATAACAAAAAATATAAAAAAATAATAGGTATTTAATTCAATGTTGATCTAAATTGAACTATTTTATATATATATAGCCGTGTCCCCGTACCCTACTTTTTACAAATTTGCCGTGTCCCGTACCAGTACCCGTACCCGTACCCGCACCCGTACCCGTACCCGTACCTAGGCAACATAGGTCATTGATGATCACTTGATTGAGCTATATTGTGGATGATCCGCTCTGTTGAACTTGATCTACATATTCTAAAACCCCAACACATCAAATTTGGGATGAACCCGTCGTGGTTTGACCCTTCATCCACTCGTATCAATTTTAACGGTTTCGAATGAATAGAACTTTTTACATGGCTCGACGGAGGGTCAAACCACGACGGGTTCACCCCAAATTTGGTGTGTTGGGGTTTTAGAATATGTAGATCAAGTTCAACGGAACGGATCATCCATAATGTAGCTCAATCGAGTGATCATCAATGACTAAGAAACTTAGTGGTCGTCCACTTAAGTTGACATAATTTTTACTC